TTATGACTTTAGAAAAACTCTCTGGCCTTGAATTTTCCAATCACAGAAAAGTTTATATTCAGCTCGCACAGGATGCCGATTTAATTGCATAGTTGGTTTTAACTCCGACCCAATTTGATGCGGGATCGATTCATTATAAGTGGTGGAGTGCTCGAAGTGAGAGTAGATCAAATTTCGATCTATAGCAGAAGTGATCTTCCAAGTTTAAAAGTTGAAAAAGTGATTCATTGTTGGAAAAAAGGAATTTATTTCCAACTAAACTCGAAGTAATTCCGCGAGTGTAATATCAACAAATACTGAAATACTAATTTCAAAAGTTTTTTTTTATTATTGAATTCTTTTTGTGAGTTGGGTAGGAAATTTTGAGATTTAGAGAACACTTGAATTCGTGCAAAAGCATTAACCAAATTAAGATAAGATTAGTGCTAGCCAATTTTGACCTACAGATATGAAATTATCACGATGTTTAGGCTCAGCCTATCAACGGCGTGGGCGGTTTATACCGATCCATTGGTATCGGATCATTTGGCGGGGAGTATTGTGCGCTAGCGGACGTGACGCTGTTTTGAGTCAGCCCCCGCGCATGCAACGAAATTCGAGCAGCTGTACGTTAGATTTCCACCGCTTGAGTTCTGAAGCCAGTACACGACGTCGAGCAGTACCAATCGAGCTCTACCCTCCATCCTTTCCGGGGACTTATTTACCCTGAAGTTGGTCGCCGGAAATGTTCATCGGCACTACTTCTCCGTCAGTACGACCACGTGTGTAGTCGAGATCGACAACAGCTACAGCTTCGTTGGACACCGTGGGCTGCGTCGTTGATTAAGGTCAGATCCATACGTATTTTGCTTCAATTTGAACACCCTTGTTCGAAGGAAAAAACGAAGAACTCGTAGATATTAAATTTTGGAATTAGTCGTGATGTCACACTCGAGTTTGTTCTCATAGGATGTTTTGAGTAAATTCGACCCTCTTCAACTATTAGCATCCTCAAATAGACTATTGTTAAACTCATAAAAAGTGAAATAATTACTTCCAATTTAGTTTGAGGCTTCACCAAGATCACAGAGAACAGACGTCCAACTTCGGTCAGAAACATGTGTAAAGATAAGTGGAAACATACCCCATAACGTGGGTAGTTGACCTTTTCGTGGTATAAGATGTAAGATGTAAGATCTACCACCGATTCCTTGTCTTGACTACTTCAAACTAGGGGTACAGGATTTTTCAGTAATCCAAGGAACAAATCTTAGTCCTTGTTACTTTTTATGCCTTGTTGATAGTGATAAGTCCCTCGGGATTCCTGGACCGAGGATGATATTGAAACAAGGAAAAAAATTAGTTAGTTAGTCTTCATCTATGTGATTCCTAATCTTCTATTCGTTGTTCCCTAGTTTGAAGTGGTCAAGACTAGGGTTCTGATGCATGGTCACTATCGGTGTCATTCTTTAATTTTGTTGCTAAGGAATCCAATTTTGACTGACAAAGGGGCGCGCCTTAGGAGGGTGTTCCAACACTCCGAAGGGTATAAATAGCGGGACCTTTCAATTAGAATCGATTCCTTGCAATGAAGGCAAGAATGACAGCTGTATCAAAACCGAATACTTCATCATTTTTCAATAGTGATGAAGTAATACGACATTCACTAAACTAAGGACACGGGATATACTACAATAGATCAATTGAAAATTGCCACTTGGCGCTACCATCACTTAGTGTCTAGTGTGAATTGTGCAACCCCAGCGCCATCAGGTTGTCAAAGAGGGTTTTTAAGTGGGGAAGGTCACCGTTAGTGGCGCTTTAGACGAATAGGAATCTTTACACTAGTTTTTAGAGAAATTTTGTTCGAGCCTCAACATCTATTCTCTGTGCCAAGATCGCGTTCGAATATTTTTTTGTGACGAACGAATTGGGTGGCGTTTTGCCGAGACACTTTTATTGACGACTTGAATGTGTTTAGATGAGTTCAAGCAGAACTTTTCAAATGGACGTATGTAACATTGGATAGGAAATTAGAAACATTGGATAGCAATGTCTATATGAGATTATTAAATGCTATTTAAAAGTTAATGCTATTTTTTTAAATCTGTTTCTGCTATTAGTTGGATAAAGCGATAGCGTTTAAGAGAATTGTGAAAAATGTCGAGTTTTGCAAACACGGACAAGACTTTTGATAAAACAAAATCATACACCTTTTACTTGTGTACTACTCACATACACCCTGATTGATTCGTCGGTATCACACCTTGATTTTTACATACACCCTGCATGATTCGTCTATTTTACAGAAGGGCTTTCACATACGTCAAATCAGATACACCGGTTTTTGTTTTGCAGTGAAGATACGTCGGCAGCTCGAAAAGCATTGAGGAATTGTCGGTTGGTTGGTTTATTTACATAACTACCCAGAGTTGTGAAATAATCGAGCGGAGATGAGAGGGTCACCGCATTATCTGCTGTCAGATGTTATACGTTTTGTGTTTTTCGTATTAAGAAAGCGCTGGTGAGATTTGTATCTGAAGCTCAATATTAAAGTCAAGATTAAAATGCAATTTTATTAGAATACGCAAATACAAAAACAAACATACAAACTTGACGCATTTGCTGATTGATAGTGGTTGCTTTGTTTTTTTCACATACGACGCTTCACTGTGAGCGTATCTGCAGTTTTTGTGTTATCATCAAATTTTAACAGTTAAGTCATGTTGACAATAAAAGGGTGTATCAACACAATTTTAAAAACAATGAAAGAAGGTCACATAGGGCGTTCATTAAATATATTTTCCATAATGCATTACAATTTCAAACCTTGTTTTTCATTAACTCGTAGGAAAAGCATGTATTTTATATTCTGTTAGATGCAAAATATCCATTTGTTTATTTTTGCGACTTACGTCCTTTTGAAAAATTATGCTTGAGTTTGTAGTTTTCAGTGATTGAATTATCATCGGGGAATATAATGAGTTTTGAGGGTCACGTGTTGGTCGGTTCAGATTGTTAGATTTATTGTACTTAAAGTACAGTAAACCTGCCCTGAGTGGAAGTAATCTCGTGCCGGGATTAAATCACAGCTGACGGTCCTTCTGAGTAAAGAAGGTGGCGCTTAAGTCGTCAACTGAACGTAACAAACAGAATCGTTACAAGTCCAAGTGAACCCCTAGCAAGCAGGTCTGTCACGTTTAGCAGTGCCGATCATCGAGAATCAATCGTCTGGTCGGAAATAGTCGATTGCTCCAAGTGGTGTAAGTGACAAAGTTTTAGGTTCAGCACTGCAACTTGCATCTTGCATCTCCTTGACGCGAACACGTAGAACGATGAGACGTCCGATGGAGGTTCTTCCTCACTTTCGAAACCGCTTGTCAACGGCAAGTCGCAAGGACGTAAAACCAGTATGCGTTCGGGACGGTATGCAGCACTCGTCGTAAGTATATCACTCTCTCTAAACTTTCAGTTATTAAATTAGTTTCAGCAATTTTGACCGGATCAGCAACTGAAAATCCTATGTGAAAACAAATTCCGAAGAAAAATTGAACGTCATATTTGTTCGAACGCACAGCCTACTCAACTTTTTGTTTCACCATCGAGGTGAGTAAGTGAGTGATGCACAACTTAATATTAAGTAGTTTGAAGTTGACGTTGGGTGAAAACAACTTAGTAGTAAGTTGTATGTTTACATGTGCGCGTATGACAACTACTTCAAGCCTTTTAACTCAAAATTAACTTTTCGCACGCATGAGATGAACTAGCCAGCTGAATGAAAATCTAAATAATAAAGTTAAAAAAAACTTCCCGCACGCAATCTTTGACCTGGGTGGATGGAACTCAATATTAGGTACTTTTATCGTTCCGTGTAGTGGTGTCCAATTTATATTCGAAAAATCGATTGATCGATTAACGAACCAAAAAATCAATTATTTATGGCAGGATCATCAGCCATCGTTTCAAGCATGTTCTACATTCTCATTGCTGGACAAATGACAGCACAACGAACAGAAAGTAATCGATTATTAATCGAGTAATTAAAACATGGGATATCAATGATCTTCTTCTTCATCGCACCCATTCAACACACATGGACCAATTGGGGAACGCTGGCAAATCTACTAATTCATAAGTGCTGAAAATTGTATTACAAACATCAGATATGCAATGTGTTTGATGACAGCAAGATGTCGGATTCGACGTAGATTCAACAGAAAGTGAGATTTCTGCTGACTTTATTCTGATTCTGGATTAAGACAGAGTTGACAGTCTTTTTGATTTGTTGTCTTCGATAAAAGAGAAGTGACAAAAACAGGTAACTCAAGAGCAGTAAGGCATATAAATGTATATAAATGCGATATCAGTGTAATATAACGGGCGTGTACAAATCGTTCAGATCTCTACTTCTTCTTAAAGACATTAAAAAAGGAAACCCCCAATGACTGCTGCTTTTCTTCTAGCTTTTCGCTTGGATTCACATTTATCGGTGCGTTTGTTGTTGCTTTTGATGGTCAATATACCCTGTTACAGCACTATATTGGTTAAATTTCAGAAAATTTCTTCCCTTAGCTGTAGCAATTTAAAGAGAAAATCAATGAAGAGAATCGATCATCGCAGTTAGGCCCTTATGCAAGCTCACTGTCGAAGTTTAATTTGAGTATTTTCAGCTGCATTGCTCAATAACCTTTATCTATCAAAGTGCTGCTCATGTTTTAAAGAAAGAGTCAACTCCAACAAAGGGGAAATAGTTTATAAGTATTTTCAGGATTGCTCAATAGTTTTTATCTATCTAAAAGCTGTTCATTCTGAAGGAGTCAACTGCTAGAGAGAGGAGTTATTTAGGACCAATAAAAAACCAGCAAAATTTTAGCACTTTGTTCTAAGAAGGAGATTTTTATCGATGGGCCCAATCTTTAGATCCATAGGCCAACATAAGAACCATTTCCCCTATATCTTTACGAATGGAACCTTTATGATTTGTCAAGTTTTCATTTTAATTAGGCCATTAGGCCATTAGGCCAGATGACCATTATGTCAAACTGCATCATGCCAAATGACCTACCTACCGCTTCTATATGTGTTCCAATTATGGCTATAGGAATTACTTTTCACTCGGTACATCTATCGTTATGCTATGTTCAGAACAAAGCATTCTGAAGCATTCTTCCTTATTCCCTAACATATTCTAGCAGAGATGACCCGCTTCCTAAAAGCAATAACGCAAAGGTTAAGTAGAGGCCAACAAGACGCTTAAAGCTATCATCAGTGTGTTTGCATCATAACACCACCGACAAACCGACATGAATGAGCATAGCAAAAACAATAAAAATTCTGACCAAAGCACACTACTGACATCTGGCTCCGTGTTTGCGGGAAATATTTAGCTAAGCCATGAACCCGCATGCAAAAGTTATGAATTGGTTCGTGTCTGATCTATTCTCGACAAATTATTTTTATCTAGATCAATAAATCCTGTGGTTTTGACAGTTCGAATCCCTGCACATTTAAATCGGCCGATTACGATTTTCGGGCATAAGTCAGAATGAAGTGTCATGTCGGTTTGTCGTTTGTGATAACACGACGATAGAAGTTTTTTTTACTCGTATGAGGAGAAAGGATATACTACAATATACTACGATATATGATTTTTGTGCAAACAGTGGGGCCACCTTAGAGTTGCAGAACAAAGCATTGCTTAATGACATGGTCGACGTGGACGATCTTCTCAGGTACTTGTACACGCCCAACATAAAAATTCAACCATAAATGCTAAAATCATAATTTGAAACAGCACAAAACTTACCTAACATAAACAAGCACACCTTCAATCAAAATTGAAGTCTATCACAACAGTATTGAAATTACCGTTCAAAATTTTAAAACCTTACCCAAAGGACTTCTTCTTCAGAAGCTCGTGTTCGGATTTTGCTTGCCGTAGCCAATTCTTCAGATCCCGTGTCTTCTCCAGCAGATTTACGGTATACTGATGGTGCTGCTGCTGCTGCTGGTGGTGATATTGGTGCTGCTGTCCCTGCTGATGAGAAGACGTATTTCCTCCTAGGCCCAGGGTTCCCGGCTTCGGGGACATCACGATATCGCAAAAGTGCTGCGAAGGATTATTCAGGTAGTCTAGCTCCTCGTATCCGCTTGCTTGATGATTGGGGTCTAGAAGAGATATAATGCAACTGCAATAGGTGCCCCCTAAGCGGCAGCGTCACTCGTACTTACTCAAAATATTCCAGATATCTTGAATCTCACTGTGCAAATTTTCCAGGTATTTGAATGTTTCGTTCGATTCGTGCCCAGCGAATGGCCGTCGAATGTTGCCATGTTCCGTGGGGACATCAGTGCTGCTGAAACCGGAACTCGAGTAAGACGACAGATCACTCAACGCCTCCTTCGGTTTCATTTTGATTTCGATACTCTCCGTTAGTGTGGGACGATCCTTCTCCGACAGTTTTTGCAACGAGCGCTCTAGATGGCGCAACCGAATAACCTTCTCGCCCAGGAGGGCACGAGTACGATGCAATGTCACCTCCATCTCCGTTAGCTCTTTCTCCTCCTGAAAATATGCATAATTTATCAAATGTCCATTAAACAGAACCTAAATTGTCAAGACTTACATTGAAGATCTGATCCACGGTGTGCTTGTTCTTCATCGTGTGCTTCACCGAAATGTCCCGCTGTTTCGATTTGAACAGATTCTTCTGTGCCCGCAGTGACTCCTTGGCCCGCATTACCGAGTCCCGTTCGAGCAAAATACGGTGCTTGAAGAAGTCAAGCTCCGTACTGCCACCGTTGTTTGCCAGGTCACTAAATGGGTACCGCAGATGGTAGGGCGTATCCATGTTACAGTCCGGAATCTGATCCTCCAGTTCCTCAAGCTTCTTGAGCTGGATTCGTAGATTTTCCACCGGAGTGCAAGGCCGCTCTCGGTCATGCTTGGACGAGTTCAGCTTCGAGGTGGATGCCGATTTGGTTTTCGTGAAGAGCTTTCGCTTCTGTCGAGTCATCGGAACGCTATTCTTATCGTGGTTCTTGTCAAACTCGGAATCCGAACTGAAATTGTCGTCACGAACGTTAGCAAAGATGCTACGAATCTGGAAGTAGTTCTTAGAATAGGTCGTTTCGCTGTGACTTGTATCTTCGGTGTTCTGTACTCGGTTATTATTCAGGATAAATGGTTTGCGAGGTTCAGTTGGAGCGGAAGAAGCCACCTGTTGTTTATGGGTGTTACCATTGTAGTGAAGTAGTTTGTTCTTGTTCTCGGCTAGATAATTGTTCTTGACCGGGAAACGCTTCGAAGCAGCCGATGGAGGAGGAGTGCTGATTGAAGATTTCTCCGAGTTCATCATGAGAGACGGAGGTCCGGCGGTGCTCGACCTAGCTTCGTACGGATAATGAGAGGTAGGCTTCGAGTGGGTGCGATCATCCGTTTCGTAACTGTTACTGAGCAGACTTTGCTGCTGTTGTTCACGCCGTTTCTTACGCCTTTCGAGAGAAATCCTAACGTCTGTCTTCAGACGAGTATATTTCTCTTTCAAACATTTGTACTTGTCTTCGAGCAGTCGCTTCTCGCAGCGAATCTTCTCGTACAACCGGTCTTCGCCAGTTTCCCGCATACGTTGTCGTTCGACCTCCAATTCATGGGCCATCTTAATCTTCATCTCCGTCAGGTTGGTAGCATGCTCTTTTTTGAGAAGCTCCTCTTCCATTTTCAAATCACGCTCCAGTTCTTCTACAATTTCATCGTGATTCTTCTGAAGAGTTGCCATCGTGGCTTTATGCTCATCAGTAACCTCTTTAACCTTCCTGTCGAACTCTTCCTGTAGCGTTTCCCTATAGATCCGATACTCTTTTTCATTTTCCTCCTCATAATCAGCCTTCATCTCATTAAGTTTTACCTGATAGAACTCTTTAATCTCCTCAATATTCTTCTGATGAGAATCGTTTAGTTTGTCCTTCTCTTTGGCCAACAATTCTTCGAAACAGTTCTTTTCCTTTGTCAACTCATTCTGTATGTTCGCTTCCTCCAAAACTCTCAGACTCTGCAGCTCCTCCTCCAGTTTCGCCTTATATCGCGCCTTCTCATCCGCAATTGAATCCTTTAGATGTCTTATTGAATCATCACTAACCCTTTCAACGGAAAATCTTCTTCCCACGTCCTTAACCATCTCTGCCTTACTGTCTATCACTGCGCTCGCAACCGATTCTTCCTCGGATGACTCCGTTGAGCTTGGAGACTTCTTCTCCGAACCTTCCACTGCTTCTTCCTCCTCCGCTTCTTCTTCAGCATCGTTATCATAGCCCTCGGCAATCTCCTCAAAATTTATCAAGGAATCGTCTCTCACCGCTTCTAGTTTATTCGATTTCAACTCTGCATTCAAATCGATATCAAACCGAACACTCTTCCTCTCATCCGAGGAATCCTCATTCGGTGTTCCTTTGCTCTTAATATACGTCAGACTTGAGTCCCTTAAAATTCCCTTCACTTCCTCCTTCCTCCCAAATTCCAAACTGTCAAACTCTGGTTTTTTATTCGATTTCAAAAACTGTGACCCCGTACCGGTAATGGAGAACCCCTGAAAAGACCCGCGAGACAAGCTGTTCTCCGATCGATCCCTCAGGCTCGCACCCAAATTAAACGATATTTTCGGTGACAGCGCCATCGCTCCTCCACCCTCATCAATCTTCCTCTCCGGAACCGCCAACTCCAACCGTTGACTGTTGTTTTCCTTATTCGAATCTCCACTTTCCTCTTCGTCCTCCTCGTTGCCAACTTCTTCACCCACCTCGATCTCGTCCTCTTCTTCCACTACAACACTCGGATCCTTTTCCGCCTGATCCTTCTTAATTTCAACCTCCTTCACACTATTCTCCCGGTCGGACTCCACCGATCCCGATCCCACGATCCCAAAAATCCGATCCTGTTCATAGGACTCCTTTCTGATAGCGCCCGCAGCGCAGTCGCTTCCATCAGCTTCTTCCTCAACAACCGCAGCCGGTGCCGGTGATTCGATTTCACACTTCTCACATCCACTGGCACTGCCGGCACTTCCACTTCCACTGCTGTTGTTGCTATTATTGCTGGCGGCCGATTTCAAGCTACGGAAACCGGAGTCGGCCAAAGATGTCGAGTCCGATCGATCCAGTGACAGAGCCTTCCGAGCGTCGACCACCTTTTGCCGATATAGGACGTCAATCGGATGTTCCCACTGGGACTTTCGGGTGTAGCGGTCGTAGTAGTAGTACGCTTTGACCTGTTTGCTGTAGCTGGAATGGGAAAACGAAACATTTGTTAGAAACTCATTTGTTTGGCTGAAAAAGTTAAATTGCAGAAGCTTTCCGTAATGTATGATATTAGTTTTTTGGGAGTCTTATTATATAGAAGATGAGTTAATAAGCACAGACAAATAGACGTTACTCTTTCTCCCCAATCGTCGTACACGCATTTAACGTTCATTTTAAATATTAATAATTTAGCGAATCCACCACCTCATCGCTGGAATCGGATCACTTTACTGTTATTTGGTAACGCACTCCACTAAAAGTATGGACGACTGAAACTGAAAAAGTTGTTTCAATCGAGTAAGGCAGTGCATTTTGACAGTTCGATTGGAACAACTTTTGACAGTCGTCGATAATTTTACTTAGGCTCTGAACCATTTGGTGGATTATTTTAACTTTTGGTTAAAATTTGACAGATGGAAAGTTATCGATTAACCCTGCTATCCGAGCGTGGTTATTTCTGACAGACAAGAAGTTAAATTTTGACAACCTTGGCTAAGTTCTGCTCGAAAACCGGTCGATCGACAGCACAGGGATTTTCGAACATAAAAAATAACTTTCGAAATGTCACTTTTAACCACGAGTTAAATTTAACTCGGCAAATGGTTCACAGCCTTAGAGGATTACAACCGATACGGAGCTTCATGCCACAACAACACATGTGCTGAACAGTGACTTGTGGAAATTGATGACAAGATGACAAATATAAATTAAAATATGTTCTGAATGTTACAGTGAATGCTATTCCTTGGCAGATTTACTAAAAATTCTATATAGTCAACGCAAGAATTTAATAAAAATAAAATCTCATCTGCCGAACGCACAGTAAGGTACTAATCGACGATTTCAATTCAACCGCAACACCCACACTTCACATAATTTAAGCGTTATAAAAATATACACATTTTCTGTAGTAAGAGAGGAAGGACAACCCACAGCCACCCACACACGGTTGATCCTTTTCCGATAGCTGTAGCCTGTTGTGTGGGCTCAAGTGCTCCAAAGATGTGGAGAAAGGGACGGTGCTCCACTGTTCACGTACGGTGGGATGCTGTCAACATCATGTACTTCAGCCTGATGGCAGCCATCACCAGTGCGCCAGTGGCAACATATTTTCCATGCCCATTCCCACAAATGCACTGGCATGTCTCCAACCTACATTCGTATGACGATACATATTTTTTACATAATCCCCGTGCATTTTCTCTAGTCCAAGTGGAACAAGGCAAAAATATGCAACTGCATACACACCAACCAAATGGGATGAGATGTTCTCGCCAGGGCCAGTGAATAGTGTGCTAGGTACCTACATATCGTTGTAATTTGCCACCGGGAAAATGCCAATAGAACAACGAGGCAACGTCGACGGCGACGAAACAGGATACACACTGTCGGAAGGTAGAAGGTAGGCAACCAGCACAGCAGCACCAGTGAGCAGGCAAATGCAATTCATTAACATTTCCAGATGAATTGCATTCCGTTCCGGGGACGGGATGTGCCGAGAAATTGACTTCCATGCCAACTTCCGAGGTTGGCTGGTGTGATGCATTGCGTCGAAATGTGTTGTGATTTATTTGCGTTTCATCGTGGAGAATTATATGAATATGAATTCACGAAATGTTAAATCTGTGAGCCGTATTAATTTTGTGATAAAATCCAAGATATAATCTTAGAAAAGGTTATCTGTTTACGCATTTTGAATCTTCTTCTTCTCCTTCCTTTTATTTAACGTCGGTCTCTGTTCCGCAATCTAGTGCCAATCACCGACGGACATCGATTGCCATCCATTGACGGCAATCGAATGTGCAGGAAGGCAGCTTCCACACCTGCGTAGTATATCACGCCCATTCAACACACATGAGCCGGGACCAACGGCTTTACTTCCCTTCCGTAGGGACGACGTGACCAGAGATTGTTATGCCACAAAAAAATCCCACCGACCTCGGCTGTGATTGAACCCAGACCCATTGGGGTGAGAAAGCAGTCAGGCTTACCACTACACCACCGGCGCCGGCTACGCATTTTGAATAATCTTTGAGGATCGAATGCTGTTACATTGTAGCTTTATTTTAGTGGATGGCCACTGAGGCCAGATTACGTCTAAGAAGATTCTCTGGTGCTCCATCGTATTTGTCATTGAAAATTAACGTAAATTGATGTATTACATGTCCATGTCTGAGCGAAAAGTGGTCTTCGGAACCGGTTTTCAGAAGATCTGGATACAGATCACTGTGGCCAGATTACGTACAGGAGGGATTTCTGGCACATACTTTCTTTTGAAATTTTGCGTAAATTGATCTGTGGCAGCCCATGTTCTGGCGGGGAGAACAAGGGTCATCGGAACCAGATTTTGGAAGAACCTGATACTGGCCACTGTGACTAGTTTATATCCAAGACAGATCTCTGGTACACTATCGTACTCGTCATTGAAATTTGGACGTCGGAACCGGCTTATGGAACATACGGATACAGGCAATTGTGGCCAGAATACGTCAAAGAGGTTTCTCGGGTACCCCATCGAACGGATTTCGGAAGATCAAGCTACTGTGCGTAATTGACGTCGCATGCTCATGTTCTGGCGGGGAGAACAAGGGTCCTCGGAACCGGATTTTGGAAGATCCCGATACTGGCCACTGCACAGTGGGCCAAGAATTAAATCTAGCAGGAAAAAAAAAATAACGCTCTGGTATTGCATCCAATTGAGTTGACGTCTTCAGTGAAGTATTTTGGTGAATAGTTCATGTTTTTACCACAAAGATGGCGCAGCGATACAATTTTTTTTTTTTTTTTTCACAAGATAAAGGTTTGCAGTCCTCGGCAAAGAATATATTTTTTTAGAAAATTCATTCCGGAAATCATGTGTTTTTTTCAAATTTCTTGTGAAATATATAGGGGAATTTACGCATTCTCGTCAATCTAAGCAGCTTCCGCACTTCTATTAGCATTTTCTCAGCGTCATGCTCATATATGACGTGTCTGTTTGTTTAAATTCATCTGCTGCTTGCTTCTCTATCCATTCCAATCGACAGAATTCTTCAAAACTGTTTGAAAACGTTTTTACAACGCTCCAAACTTCTCAGGTGAGTGTGACTATTGTCGGCCGTCTCTTTTTCTTCGGCAACCTTCCCTATAAAACTGCGTGTTAACCAGCTGTTCTATTATCGGCAACTCGAAATCAGCCCCATTTTGTAGTACGTATGCTTCATTTGAAGAAAAATCTGGCATAACAGGATTGCTAGGGCGTACAAATGTAATCAGATTGGAACTGAAAGACTAAATAATCGTTTGGATACATTCCGGGAAGTGTGTTGATGGTAAAACGTAGTGAAATTAACGTTTAAATTTCGGTTGCCGAAAATAGTCAATGGGTGCCTAAGCCGACATTTACCCTATTTTTAGTATTTTAAAAATTAAAACATTAATATGGAAAAGATTGGATTGATCAGTACCGATCGAGTAAAAATAATAAAAAAGTATTCTTTTAACGACTGTTCAAAAAGTAATACTAAAAACGTGAATTACAGGCAAATTTTATAAAACTTCGTAAACCTCAGTTGTTTAAAGATGTACAGCTTTTATGTCTTGGACAACTTTTCATAAAACTCTTTGTTCTACAACTTTGCTCAGGGCAGCAAACCTCTATCTTGCCAAATAAAAAAGTTTTTATTGCTGTGCCATCTTTGTGGCAAAAACTTGAACTATTTTTATTTACCAAATTCACAGAGAACAGACGTCCAAGCTCGGTCAGAAACTTGTGTAAAGTTAAGTGGAAACGTCGCCGTTACCTAGCGCTAGCATCTCCTGATTTCCTCTATAAATGTATCACTTTCGACCAATTTGGCGCTAGTATCGATAAATTATCTGTTGAAAATTGCCACTTGGCGCTACCAGCACTTAGTGTCTAGTGTAAGTTTTGCAACGCCAACGCCATCATGTTGCCAAAGAGGTTTTTAAGTGGGGAAGTCGCCGTTAGTGGCGCTTAAGTCAAATAGGAACCTTTACACAAGTTTTTATGGAAATTTTGTTCGAGCCTCAACGTCTGTTCTCTGTGCCAAATTGTAGTCCTAATTAATCCAAAAAACTTCACTGTGAACGTCAACTTAATTGGATGCAATTTCAGAGTGATCCTGCTAGATTTAATTCCTGGCCCACTATGCACTGTGGCTAGATTATATCCAGGAGAGATCTCTGATACACTACCGTACTCAGCATTGAAAATTAGCATCAATTGATGTGTCGTAACCGGATTTCGGAAAATCCAGTATGTGAGCTAAGAGGCAGTAGAAGATCCCAATGATCTTTGGACAGGTTATTTTGTCGTTTTATTCTAAAATACTATGAAATTATTGAACGCCTTTGTTTTCAAGAAATCATTGTGATCCACCACTTCCGGAAAAAAAAATATACCCCATTTAAATCTGGAATAACGCCGGAACAAAGTGACCAATTCCAGCTCTTCTGGAACATATCAAAACAAGAAGACCGCAATCAAAAATCGGTCAGAAATTACAATTTTGTATATTTATTTAAATATTTAAATACTAGCTGAGTGTGCCCGGCCTTGCTCGAGATTCAATATTAGCTGGAATTTATGTGCCGATTAAAAAAAAGCATGCTGTATTGTACGTAGCCCCCTCCCCCCTCTTATCTGAGGGGCTACCCCCTATGACCATCTCCTTATACCTCCTCATGCCAAATTTAGGTCCAGTTGCTTGATTAGTTCTCGAGTTATGCAGAAATGTCTGTTTCATTTGTCCCCTCTTACAGAGGGGGTCTCGAACCATCATAAGAACCTTTCCCGGCCCCAAAACCCCTGCATACAAATTTTCACGCCGATCGGTTCAGTAGTTTCGGAGTCTATAAGGGTCAGATAGACAGACAGACAGACAGACAGAAATTCATTTATTATATATTCCTAGATAGATAGAAGAGATGAACTAGCCTTCGGCTAAAAATTTCTCAAATAAGGATTTAAAAAAAAAACC